AAAATGTTTCTTTCCTAGAATAAAAGATGAATTACTGTTCCTAAAAACTTTCCAAATCATTTTTAAATTGACTCCCACCCCTCACCTCAATACCATATAACAACATTGTTCAAAATTAGAAGTCAAATCCTGCCACATCTGGTTTATCTCTCCCATTTTTTATGTTATTTTGGGGCACTTTTGGTGGTCCACCTCCCAAGGTGAATACTAGCCCCTGGACCCACTGAAATTACTCATCCTGCTCCATCCTTGGCTTCTGTCTACCTCTGCTTTCTGCCTACTGATCTCAGAGCCTGCCTTCCTTCCTTCCCTTATGTTCCATCAGCCACTCAGATGAAGCCCACCTCCAAGTCAATGAAATAGGAATATGTAGCAAACAAACTAGCAAATGCTTTGGGGTGTTTTAAATGACTGGCAAAAATCCTGGACTCTACCTTGCCAGTCCAGTTGGGTGTAGATTACACATGACTCTCACCAACAGTAAAAACGGGGGAATGCAAACCACATTGAAAGCAAAGTCAAAACGCCTCAAAAGCGGATCCGTGCGGATTATGTTCAAACAGACAGTGTCTATTGCTGGTCCACTGGAAAAGGAAAAGAGTAGAAGGGAAGAAGAGTAAATTGGATTTTTGAACTTCTAACAGCTCACAGTGCAGAAGCTACACTACAGGAGAATACAGCGTGTGCACATGTGTCTTTAAATTGCCTGTTGCCTTATGGCAACCCCATAAATTACATAGGGTTTTCTTACTCAGGAATATTCAGCAGTGGTTTTACCAGTTCCTTCTTCTAAATTTATAGCCTACACCACTTGGTACATATTGATGGCTCCCATCCAAGTACTAACCAGGGCTAACTCTGTTTAGATTCCAAGATCAGATGGAATCTGGTGTTTAGGTTCTTCTCTGTGATTAAAACTCCCAGAATACTCTAACCATCATGGTCACTATGTGGAGTAGCTCCATGATGGATATGCCTTTTGACTGGTACCCTCATGAGTCACCAACATACAACCCAGCAGCCATGCTGGCTGGGGTTTTTGCAGAACTGAATCCAAAAATGAAACTTTCTTCAAGTTAAAGAAGAAGGCATGGCTGCTACCTTAAAAAAACTCCTATGAGGAGGTGATTATACATTGTGCCATTTGTTTCAGGTCTTATTTTTTTTTCCTTCAAATATTTAAAGCAGCTCTATACCACCATTCAATACAAAGTGCTCCTAAGGTAGCTGACAAAAGATTAAATATTTTAAAATAATACAAAATACAGCAGTCCAGTCACAAAATCTGAAAGCACTTTAAAACCCCAATCAACAACAGTTTTAATACATTGATTACTAACCACTGCTTGCCAAGCCTGTTACACACTACAGTTATTATCCCTCATCCAGGGCCCTCCTAACGTGAATCACTGTTTCCATGTTTACTTCCCCTAACCTTTGTTTCCAGCCAAGTTTTGTGATTAGTTTCAAGTTCCAGAAACTGAAATAAAAATCTGTAAACAGGTGTGAGCAGAGGGAAGAGAGTAGATAATTGGCATTGCTCTCACAAGCAGAGCTTCGAGTAGTTCCTGATTTGGGACTATTACTCCCAGAATTCATCAGCCAGCATGGCCAATGGAGTGATCCAAACAAGTAACTTTTCCAACCTCTGTCTCATGGAAATTCCAACTGAAAATTCCCCAACAAAATTCCAGATCCTTTGGTTGAGGAGGATGGGAGAGAAGAGAGGGCAACTCTCTCCCAGGTGAAAAGTCTACTTTCCCAATTCTACCTGTTACCTTCCCCTCCTTCTGAGGACGCTTCCAGAGAGATTTCTGTTTCACAATTTCCCTGACTCATTCATTGCAGTTTGGAGCAGGCTCAAGTGATTTTGATTCCCATTTGTAGCCCTTTGCTTTCCCCACCATCTGGAGTCCTTGTCATCCTCATGGCCAAGTGTTGACAGTTGTCCTGTGATGTGAACGCGTGAAACTGTTTTAGTGACCTTATTGGATACCTTTTGCATTCACTTTGCAGTCTGAGACTGGGAAAAGATATGAAGGCTGATAATCAATGGGAGGAATGAATTTTCCTCTCTTACTAAACTGCTTTACAATTCTCATAGCAATTGGGTAGAGACGATTCAGGCTGGTGTCTTCAATTTTCTTTGTTTGCTTCTCCACTATATAACCCATGGCAGCCCTTCTTCCACTGGCCTCAACTTGGAGGGCTGCACCCCAACCCAGGTGCTCATCGTATATCCAGTGATTGGGAATTTGATTGTCAGACGAGGGGTAGTCTGGGCAGAATCTGTATGGAGGTCCAATTCTACCACTGGCTGTGA